ACGCAGGGAAAGGGTTCTGAAGGATTCCCACAGCAGCTGACAGAGACATGAGAGAGCAGATTTGTTTCACTCCCACCTCTTTCTTCCTGACATAATTGGTCCTTTCCACTGTATAAGGTGGAACAAACAAGCAGGAATCTAAAGCCTGCCAGGCACACATATTGCAATGGGCTGCTGTGCACACAGCCTTGTCAGAAATGGTGGCCAAGGGCATGAATAACCCCTCAGCCTCTTCTCCTGACACCAAGGGAAATATTTATGTCATGACTGATGCGATTAGGGACCTTTTTCTTTATGAGCACTCAAATCTTGAGTTCACCTACATCATTTCTGAACATCAGTCACTTGGGACAGTGGGTAATTGGTAAGGAAAGAACCAGGACTATAAGCAATAAGATAATTTGGACCCTTTCAGATCTTCTAAGCTGGAATTTAAACAGTGAGACCTCTGGAAGTCTAGAATTTTGTGATCTGGAAGTGGTGGGTTTCACCACTTTCTATGTTCAGGAAGTGCTGAGATTGCCTCAGATTGTCAAAGCTGAGAAGTGTCAGTAGAAACCCTGGACAAACTAAAAAACCTCACAAATTTTTAACCCTACACAAATTCATGCCTCCTGTCACATGGTTAGCCAGGGACCACTTTAGCCCTAGGCACAGGAGATCCTTGTCTCTCTCACAGAACACAGGGAGAGGACAGACAGATTTCCAGAAACAAACTTTGCCTGCTACTTTTTTGAAGTACTTCTTGTTTCATCTGTCTCCCTCAAAAATCTTCTAGTTCTGTTTCTGACACAGGAAAGATCAAGATGAATGTAAAGTTTTTGCAGAAGGAACTTCTGAACAAGAATTCTTGATCCATGGTTGGACTGGATGATCATAAAGGTCTCTGCCAACCTTGATGGTTCTGTGATTCCATGATTCAGAAGATGACACCAGCCTCTTGAAGGTGAAGGGTTTCTGCCAATCAGATAAATCAAATGTATCTGGCAAAGCCTCCTGTCAGGTAGCAAAATCACAGACTAAACCCAAACTCTGATTTCTCACTGCTCAAGTCCTAAAAGCACATTTTTTAAAACCAATCTATCATGTCCTGGAACTCATAATTGTACATACCTGCTGTGAAAGCTGAAAAAGCAGAGCTTTTAGGAAACAGAATCCAGGAGCACAGCTCTCAACAGATGGAAAATTGAAATGATGAAGCATTACCCCTGCAGAAATAAATATCACAGCCAGGAAACCTGAAACAAAACCTGACAGAGAGGTTATTTCAGAAATTACAGAAAGGACAGGAGTCAGTAATGACATGAGGAGTCTAGAGGGCTGAGGGGATTTTTCTCTGAACCTTGCTTATTTTCTATAATGCTATTTTTCTTTAATGTACAGCAGAGTTTTTGGGTTGACAATTACTAATATCTCTGGATGAACCTCTGTGTCTAGCACTCCTCAAGGATTCTGTGGCCTTTTCTATTAGCATTCCACATTTAGAGAGAGCTGCAGTATTCACTGCACTATCCACTGAGCTGTGAGAAGCTCTCGTTAGTGTAGAACCAAAAGTTGAGTTCCCTGTGTCAGGAACTTCATTAAAATAATAAGCAGAGAAAATCTCTAAATGTATTTAATCATAAAGCAAACCTTTTTCTGCTTCAACAAATGTGTTTTATGGAAAGGGTGAATGCCTCGTAAAACAAGTGGTCATGTCTTTCTTTTAGGGTAAGTGAAAAACAGAAACACAGATGTCTCAGAAAATGAGATTTTTATCTCTGTTTTGAAGAAACAAAGGACATGAACGTTATGAAATGAAACTTTACCCAGGCACTATGGTCAAACCCCACCCAGTTACCTCTTGGTCAGGTGAACAATTTCTTTGTAAAAATCTGTTTGAAGAGTCCATAGGTTTGAATGCCTGTGTTTTCAAAATGTCAAAAATAAACACCAAGTTCCAAAGAAAAGAAAGCTGCACATGCCTAGGAAGGATAAAACCAGCCCTGGATTGATTAAGAGCTGAGAATATTGGCTCTGACACAGCAGAGAAACACTTTTCCTTCTCCAGGTAAAGCTAAAGGACTGTGTGTGCACATATACATCCATTTAGGACCATAAAAACCCATGAGGAGCAGCTGAATGGAAAAGACACATTAACACTAATGTTATCCTGTGTTTGAGAGGACATGGGCCTAATTTCTAGCTCCTTAATACTGTTTTTTCTTTCTCCTCAGACTCAGGAAAACAAATTTCCATTGCTGTTTGAAAGAAATACATCATCTGTCTACTTTCAATCTGTTAGAAATGTTTTCTTCAGCAACAGAATACTTGCATAACACTGCTCTCCTTGTCAGGTTCACAATAGTGGTGGGACTTATTAGACTGGTTTTGTGTTGAATATTCAACAGTAACTCACTAGTCAGATAAGCAGCCTCATAGGAGTCAAAATGTACATGAGCTAAGACAGATGATTTAAATTATAGCCCTATCCAGAGTCTGAAAACAAAATGCACTTTGTGCAGAAGAGTAAAGGCTGGTGTGCAGGGAAATTGTCAACAAACCTACTCTAGTGTATTATTTGTGTACACTGAATTTTTCTGGTTTGAAATAGGGGCTGTTGGGAGCTTGCAAAGGTGTATACACTTCTTGACAGTGCTATAAATCCTCCCCTTCTTGACCAAGCTACTTCGAACAGTAGCTCATGTCTCACCTGTGACTGCTGAAACCTTTCCCTTTCTATAGAGAAAGAAGATACTTCACATTAACATTAAAAGAAAATTTTACAGAGACAAAAATGAGAGAAAGGGGCTCTGGGTACTTTTTCTGTGCTTTGCCAGACACAGCTGGAAGGAACAAACTGGCTGAATGCAGACATGGCAGGACAGAAAAAATGCAGCACTAACTCTCTGTAAACAAAAGGATCATAACTATGATTTGGAGGAGGAGGGGGTTTGTATATTGGGAGTAAAAGGAGCCTTTGATGTGGTGAAAGCCCTGGACTCCAAGGAGAGAACCTGCTGCAAAGTGGAAAACACCTATCAAGCTTTCACATATTCCAGTGAAACCAGATTAGATGTGTTTCCTCCATTACTGGTGAAGCCTACAGCAATATCCTCAAGGAAGGAGATGCCTGGTAAGAAAAATGAGCTGAGTGAGAAGCAGACTTGCCCAAAAGGACTGGACAGAACTCAGAATCCAAGGACTGAGAGAGAACCCGAGGAGAGATGTGGAAACAGCAATGTCCTGCTGAGAGCTGAGTTCTGGGCAGTGCTGGGAGGAACAAGAACCATGGAAAGGATAAAAGATTTACACTGCTCCCTGCAAAAGGAAATAATTCCAACTTCTGGGGATCTGATATATCTTCTAATAACATCAAAGACCTTTCCAAAGCCTAGCCTCTGCCCACAAGGTGAGGCAATGGCACCTGCTCCTCCTTCCACAGCTGTTGGCGCTCCCTTGACCCAAGGGCTGTCTCTTCACAGCTCTTTCTGACAGCCATTGCACTGAAACAGGATCAAACGCACATCTGTGCCCAAAATCACACATTTTATCAGCCACAAAATCTCTCCAGATGGCAGACAGTCATCTATTACCAGTAATCCATTTCTCCTCCTACTTTTCTACTACAGCAAATTGATGTCAAATCATCCCAGCAGTCTTTTAAAAGAGAACAAGGATATACAGATGTTGTTTGCTGTTGTTGTTTTTAACAACAGACAACCCAGGGGAAAATATTAAAGCCCATAGTGCTGCTACAGAACAGAGTCATTTAGTTTAAAATCACATTATTTGCAAGTAGTTTCATTTCTGACAAATGGTAAATGCAACCACTATAGCTGCTTGCCAGGCCAGTTCACTCCTCCTTACCTGCTATGAGCTCAAGTGTTGGCAAACTTTGCTCTTGCCTCCTCACAATTCCTTCCAGTCTTGTAATCAAACATAGTCTGTAAACATCACTCCCTCTTTCTCTCCCTTGGCATAGGAATTTTGTCTGCTCCTGGAGAATAATTTTTCTAGGTATTTATCTCAATAATCTCTAGTTCCTGCTATCCTCTCACCTTTCCTCTTCTAAATGAAATTTTAACAGTCAAGAAAGAAAAAGTAAGTGTCCTGGGAACACAGATTTGGGAAGATAAAGTAATATTTGAGCTGGTAAAAAAAATGCCAGCACTAAACGATGTCCTCCAGGAAGATCTGATATTGAAAGACTAACTAGGAATATGGCTATCCATCTCTTGCTTCTTCATGAATCCCTAAGCCACCAACAGGAAAATGACTGCAGGTATCAAAGGGGACTCTGCAGAGCTGCCACAGTGTGAGGCATTTACCTTCATAGAGGCATCAAAAGGGCAGAGGAGTGAGATCTCTGACCAGTTCAAAGGTCTGAATTCGAGGGTTTCATCCATGAGCCCTTAGAGTGTAACTTGTATAGGATCCTCTCATAAGCAAATGGCAAATCAAGCCAGACGGCCTTGAACCTGCCAGCTTGGTCTGAGGCTGGATTCTCTATAACAGCATTTCATGCTCCTGGGTACAGCAGAAGACAATACGACACAGAACACAAGCAATAAACACACAGGCTTTCTGTGACAGCCACAAAGCCAATAAAAAAATATGGCTGTGTGGTCAGCCAACTCAATTCTCAGCAGTAATAAGCGTGATTTAAATAAATACAGAAGCGCAATCAGAAAAGAATACAGGACCAGATACCCTTTCCCACCCTTAAAACTTCATAAAGCTAAAGATCATTGTGTTTCCTACTGGAGTTTATTGAAAATAATAAATCCTGTCTCTTTTGTGGTTGACATAATGAACCTGATACTCCTACACCAAGAACTTTTTTCTTTGTATAATAGCAGTAGATAATTTAGATGTCTCACCTAAAACAACCCAGAGTTTGTTGACATTTACCTGCCTTATACAACATTTTCATTTCAGTCTGGAAAAAAAGAGGAGATGGGAAACCTTTCAAGAAGTTGGCTTTTTTTACTTGTGCTGTTTTTATGTCTGCATTTTAGGTTGCAGGTGCCACAATTGCTAAAGGAATAAACGCCCAGAAATTCAAGATTGGATGTAAACAATGTCCAAACTCCAGAGAGTGATGGGAGCAGTGTTGGAAACATCAGAGCCAGGAACAGCATCCCAGAAGGTCTCATTATACCTGCCAGACAGCCCAGAGAGAAGAGGGGAGTGCTGTGGTTGAGTCACACATTGAGCTGTGGTCAATCCACACTTCCAGATCGCAGCAGCACAAACATCTGAGCAGAGACAAATTCCCATCCAGATGTCTCCTGCACCTGGGACACAAAGGAGCTCTCTCTTCCCCCGACCCTGCCCCAAAGTGTTTGGTACCAGGGGCTCCTGCTCTGAACCTGTGGCACCTGAGCACAAAGGCACAGATCTGGGAATCCACCCCTTCCACCCACCTTGGTCCCTGCATGAGATTTCCCTTCAAACTTCCACTGCCCTGTGTTTTCTTACCCTCTGGAAGCTTTTCATGAATTGCCATTTTTTCATTTTCTTTTATTTTTTATTTAATAGCATATATCAGTAGTTGATCTTTTTTAGACAGGAAGCTTGAAACTACAACTCCAGTAATTTTTAATTCAGTGTAACCTCTCCTGATACAGCTATGAATCTCTTAATATTAAAAGAGGCTTCAATGAGCACAAATTGCTAGAGAATGTTCAGATTTTCAATCATCTCTAGCAGTACAAATTCTCAGGTCTGCTGAATGGTTTCAGATGATGTAGACTTAATTTCTTCTCAGTAGCTGGTGCAGGGCTATGTTTTGGACATGAAATGAGAATGGTGTTGATAACACACTGATGTTTTGGGCTTTGCAAAGTCATGTTTATCCTAAGTCAAGTACTGTTTGTGTGTGTCTCATGTTTTGCCAGTAGCTGAAGAAGGTACACTAAAAACAATGGGAGGGAGCACAGATGGGACAGGTGACCTGAACTGGCCCAGGGGATATTGCAGATATTCACACCATACAACACCATGCCCAGTAAATACATAAACAGTGCCTGGGAAAGGGGGGGCCAATCAGGGGTCAGCATCAGTCAGCAGGTGATGGTGCAATCATATTGTGCACCATTTGTTTTGCTTTTTGGCTTTTTCTTTCCCTTATTATTAACATCATTACTATTACATTTTACTTTTTTTTTTCCAATTAAACTGTTCTTATCTCAACCTACAAGTTTTACTTTTGATTCTCTTCCCCATTCCACTGGGGTAAGGGTGGATAGGGGGGTTTGAGCAAGCAGCTGCCTGATTCATTTCCAGCTGCGCTTAAACCCCACAACAATGGGGTAAAGTTTATTTCCAGAGGTATATTTGAAAAAGAATAGTTTTCATACACATTTCTGAAGGAAGAAACGAGGTCTGAAGAGACTTAACCAATTACAGGGGAAGGAAGAAAAAAATCCCATTAGAGCTGCTTAGGTCAGAGAGGTGCAGAAGCGCTTTGCCTCCACTCCCACACATCCCTCACCCAGACCCTAAATTGCCTTCATTTGTGCAATCACTGAGGGGTTTGTCTTGCAGGCTGCAGTAGCACTCCCCCTGCACAGAAGCATGCAAACACAGGAGAAAAGGCTGCTCACAAGGAGCTTCCATCAGTGCTCTCTCACTCAAGAAAAGGCATTGTCTGGAAAGTCCAGGCAACGTGGAAAACACAGCAAGGCAGTCTGGAAGTGACTAATGCATACAGATGGGTTCAAATGAGCATCACCAGCTCTTCCACCTGGTTCCTGGCAGTAATGAGCCACAGCTGACAGTGGAAATCAGCATGACATACCCCACATCTCCTACTTTTAAACCACAAGAGCCGTTCAACTGTTCAGACATTTTTTAAGCATTCTTTAGTGCTCAGGCTGTGACCTCCCAATTCCTACAAGGATTAAATCTCTCTGAGGTTCTCAAGAAAATCCAGGAACTCAATAATGGCATGTGCAGCTTGGAGCATGCACATTTATTTTCCTTGATTTCACAGCAGTTTTTTACCTCTCCCACTAACTCCTATAAATCGCATTCTACCATGGCCCACGACTTTTTATCTAAAAATTGCACTCAACATGTGTTTTCTACAGGAAACATTTTCAACTTCTCAGGCTCAAGTTTTTGCTTAATCAGTTGTAAGGGTAATTCCTAGGAGAGAAAAGGTAGAGGAATATTTATCTCTTGATTAAATTTTCCCATGGCCAGAACTCGTCAAGTATTAATTTTGTGGCTCTTACAGCAGCTCAGCCTTGTAAAAAATAAACTAAATAATCAAAATAAACACTCTAAGATCATGAAAATCCAGGTTTTTCCATCTTTTAAAATGCATCATATTACCCTGAATAGAGACAGACTGATAACATTTCCATAAACAATAGATAAAAAAACCTCCAAACCTATAAAATTTAATGGAGCATTTCAAATGCTTGGTTAGAAGGCATATTTAGAAAACTAATTTTCAGACTAGCAGGCCACAAGTGGTAAACAAATTCTCAGTACAGAAATGTTTCAAATGGAAATTGCATAAAATGAATGATGCTTATTCATGGCCACAGCAGGCTGAGAAAAAAATTAATTTAAAAAGTTGTTGTGTTTTTTTTTAAACCAAGCCCAAGCACATCTGATTTCTAAATCAATAGCTGTCTCTAACCAAACTGAAGTGCTTGTACAACTTCAGACAGGTAATTACTTACAGGGATTGGATGAGGAACAAGCACATCAAGGGATATTGCTACGTCAATCTCTCTTTTTTCTGTTTTATTGTAGCCGTTTGGATATTTCAGAAATCAACACTGAGAACTGATTTTATCCTCTAGCAGCTCCAATATAAAGAAAAGCCAATATACTAATACACAGAAGGATGTGCATGGCTGCCTCGTCAAACACCATTTAGTGTTGTGGTTTGGGGGCAAATTTCACAGGAAAGGCACAGATTTCAAGATATTTAGATTTTTTTTTACTTTAGACTGAGGAATGCAAAATAAACTAAGGTCCCTGGAATGGGAATTATGAAGATGCCAGCACAAGATACAAAAATTACTGAATTTCAGGATGAAATACATTTGTAAGATCTTTGCATAGAGTGCAGAAGGGGTAATACTGTTGCATTTCATTAAACTGTATTAGTATGATGCAGAAACAGAACACCAGTTATCTCTCCATTGAGGAAGCCCCACAATAAACATTCAACTTAACCAACAAATGGTATGACCACCTGACATTTTTTCCAATCTTTATTAGAGAATTTGACATATTGGCTTTTAAGTTAACCTCTTAAATTGTATGGCTTTTATTAAAAAGTTTATTTTTAGCTGAAAGTCTAAAATTTTCAGATTTTGAAAACAACTTAAAATACAGAGATATTTTTATATATCTGATATATTTTGCCTCTTTTTATCAAAAATACAATTTTCTCTAAATATTTGTGTGCATGCCTCTGTGTGTATTGCTAAACACATCAGCACTTTCTGTGGGGAAAACTTGTTCTTTGTAGATTTAATTTTCAGTATTAAAGTTTGTGCTTTTTTAAGATTGAGAGAGCTTCTGTCTCCAAAGTCCATTTTTGACAGAAACAATAAGAAAAAAATCATATTTATTTTGCCAGTTAGAAAAACAATTTCTAACAATCACCCCCTAGGATACTTACTGCAATAAGAGTGAGATAGTACATGAAAATTCTATAAGACCTAAAAGGTCTAGGCTCAAATGAGATCTGCAAGTCTTCCTCCACTTCCTTTTGTATCACTAAAAACTCTTGGCAAGTATTTCCTCACAGAGAAGTAAGCTAAAGTATACAGCTCTCCTGAGACAATGCTACTTTTTATTAGAAGATTATGTATTTTAATGAACTGGATACATTTAGTTGCCTCTAGTATTTCCTCTGGTGTTCACTACTCTCCCAAGTGATGAGACAAAATTTGCATTTTAACAGAAGCTGAGTACTCTACTGGAAAGGCATCAGGCTTAAAAGCTCATAAGTAGATTTTTGTCTATTATTTAATTTATTGAAATTTGTTACTGCCTTTAAAGTCTCTTGTTTAAGAGATACACAAAGCTCCTGTTAATTGACATAATTTACCATCTGTATTCGTGCACTCACTTGTAGGGTTATTATACTAGAGTATAAATGTGATGATTGGTTTTGCTGGGCAATTACTCCACCTGTTTTGCACTGATCTGATGGCACAGAACAGGTGAGAACCTCCTGATCACCTAGAAACTTTGCTTTTTGATGCAGGTTTGACTATTCAAGACCTTTTTTTACCAAATTTCAGCCGTGCAGAGCTGACAGCAACTGTCTAGCTGCTTCAAGAAAACAATCAAATGTGTCACCTAACAACAAAGGCAATACTCCTTTTAGGGATCTTTTAAGGTAAAGCAAATACCTTCCCAAAAGAAAGTTATCATCGGACCAGCAATCATTTAAAATTTGACTGAGCAGCTGTTTACATCTTCTCTCCTTGCCTTGGGAGAGCAAACAAGCCTCCCTCTCATCCTTCCCTGCCTGTGTGAGGTGGGAGTGGGGGGAACAAACCTCTTCTTCCACCTCATCCTGGCTGCAATCACAACTCCTTCACAGCCGTGGTTTGCATGCACCAGACCAGCAGTGCTTGCCCAGCTTAAAAATTAACCCAGGACACAAGCAGCACATGATCTGGTAAAAGCTCCAACCAACCAAAAACTAAAAACCAAACCAAAAAGAGAAACCAAGCTCCAGCTTTCAGTTGTCTAAAGTAAAGCTGTACTCCCTAAATCACCTTCTGACTATACAAAGCACTCTGGCTGTTGCAATATTTTATTTTTTATTAATGATATGAAAAGGGACCAATTCTGAAGCCTCCAAAACCCTTCATTTTTCTGCTGAAGTCTCTCTCATTCATTATTTACACCCAAGAATTTTCCCTTCAAGCAAGACACATACATTTCATTTCCCTTTTTCTTCCATTCAAAACCTATTTAACTACAGCTGCAAAACAAAATATAAATACAACATTAAAAAGTACAATTTGAGTGAAATACTGAATAACTAATAGTGAAATAACTGACAATTTTTGGTTTAGGAAAAATGCTCTCTTCCTCTTCTGCTGCTTTTTTGGAGTTTCACTTCCAAATCTACTTAAGATAGAAAGTCTAGAGACGTTATAATCATATTTGCTGATTGCTTTAGCAATTGTCTCCTGCAATCTTCTAAACAAGTCATTAGACTCCCACTGATGGTTTCCAGGATAGAAAAAGATACCATGAACATCCAACAATCATTATTTTTTCAGTCCAGCTGTACTCACATCCCACACTCACACATTTAGGTCTGAGCACATCATAAGCTGCTATTACTGTG